CCCCCGCGGGGGGGGGGGGGGGAAACTAGTACTGGCAGCCGTGCTATCCTAACTTATAACATCAGCAATTTTCCTGCACACAAGGGAGGGCGTTCCCATTATTGATTTTTGGCGTAGGGTAGATGAGCGGAGAGGCTAAGGGCATGCATCTATTTTGTCGAAACGCTGTTTACCGGCTAGGCACCACAGCCGGGTTACATCAGACGCTGTGAACCGGAGAAATGCTCCAGACTTATGTTCATTTAGTGTTTTACCCAGTATCTGGCGTCCCTCTAAGAGTTCGGTCACCTTTGGGGTGTTCTAGGGTCTCCCTTTCACCTCGTGCTCTTTTTGGAAGACCTCCAAATGGAGTCTGCTGAGATCTGTACATTTCAACCTGCTGAAGCCAGGGGAGACGTTTAGAAATTCGACTTGGGCTGAACGTGCCTCCTGAAGGTTCATCTTTCGTGGCAGAACGCTCTAGCTGCAACCCGATCTACCTATCCGGCAACAGCGAAAGACACTCGCACGATGCGGCGTGTCCTCAACCCCAAGCCTCCGTGAGTGCACTTTATTATTCCCCCCATGAATACCGTCTAAGCAAAGTGGTACAGCGATTATGGATTCTACAGTGTTGCTGTGTGGCTTGCTCTTAGGGAGGGGGATGCTGCTTGCAACCGGGGGCCTGATGCCAGCGCAGTGTGCCTCGTTAGAGCTCCATTGATGCCCCTCCTGACAGTTGACGCTGGGTCTTCTATTTTATTCAAGCCTTTCAAAAGCCCCTTGAAGGGCCATCTTCCAGGCAAGCTCTGACGTTTTGCATGTTCCCCATCCTAATCTGTGGAGAAAGACTCTTCACAGGAACAGCATGTGAATTCCCAGAAATTTGCCGTAAATGGATACCCCTCCTAACGAAGGGCATGCCTCATCAGGCACATCGTTGCGCTTCGAAGAAAAGGGCGTATGCTGGCTTGCAGGATGCAGCGAGGAGTCCCTTCGAAAGACGCTGGGGATCCGCATGAAACGTTCTGCATGTTTCCTAACCAACACCAAGCAATTCAAAAGTCCTCCGCCTCTTTCTGCTCCCTCCTCCCCTGATGTTCCCGCCGGAAAGCCCCTCATTCTTTATGAACCCAAGGAACCAGGCGAACATAAGGTAGAAGTAGACCCCATGCTTACGAGGTATGCCAGCTGGTCTCACAGACGGTCGTCTCTGAGGCGCTCCTGGCACTGCCGTAACAACTAGTTGCAGTCGAAGTATACAATGCGATTGGTTTTCCACATGTATAACGCATTATGTGAGGCGCTTGAGTAGTTTCTCCCGTAAACGACGTACTGCAACTGTGGGCTGCTGTTCACCATATGCCGGACTCAGGTGGCTACGCGAGCATCAGAGGGAGGGTGTGCGCTTTGTATTTGAATGCCTAATGGGTCTCAAGGATTTCGACGGCTACGGCTGCATTCTTGCAGATGATATGGGTTTGGGAAAGACTTTGCAGAGTATCACAATCCTCTGGACTCTCCTAGAGCAGGGAATTGACGTAGTTCCAGGCAAGTCGGCAGGTGCATGATGTAGGTACATCAATGTGTGCTCAATATATTCCTGGATGCAGCGGAGTGCCTGCACGAAAAGGACTATGCGACGAGCTGAGTTGTAGGAAGTGCGATCTGTTCATTGCCACCTTAGATGGACGACGAGTGCATCTGCTGCGTTATTTGCCACAGCTGCAAGGAGAGCAGTGGTGGTTTGTCCCGCCTCTCTGGTCAACAATTGGGCCGCGGAACTGCAAAAGTGGCTGCAGGGACGTTGCCCGTGTACTGCTGTAGCGGACAGCTGCAAGGACAAAGTCGTTTCGAAATTTGAAGGCTTTAAATATGATCGCCAGGTACGTGAATTCTGCAGTCGCACGCACATCATCGTACTCAGTATGCCAATCGCCGGTAAAAGCTACACTATTTTAGTTGAACCTTCAGTTTCACGTTCCGACAGCGTCCAACTCGAGGTCTAGGTTGTGAGCTGCCAATGCACCACACGATGCAGCCAAACTCTCAAGAGATAGTTTGGTTCTTTCCTAGTGCCCGCGAGCCCCGTCGGTATACTTCTTCGGTGCTACTAACGTGGCTTATATGGCGTTACTGAATCTCAGAATGCCATGGTTGAGGCCGAGTGCGGAAGCTGCGTTGCGTGTTTACATGCAGTCTCGCGTGCTCATTGCAAGCTACGAAACATTCAGAGCCCATGCACATCGTGTTGCGTCCGTTCCGATTGATCTTATCATTTGCGACGAAGCTCACCGGCTGAAAAACGACAAAACGAAGACATCCGTCGCTATTAGTCAGCTTCCTGCCAAACGCCGGCTCCTCCTTAGTGGCACTCCTATACAAAATGACTTAGACGAATTTTTCTCCCTAGTGTCCCTCTGCAACCCCAATGTTCTCGGTAAGAGCTCTGGAATTGCTCAGAACCCTGCGAAGCAACATTTCTAGCTTGTAGATTCCCAGTTAAGACTGAAGATAAAATCTCCCCTGGCTGCATGCAAGAAGCAGCGGAAAATAAACGAACATTGTGTGTTGCGGGGGGTTGGGGGGTTGGGTGGGGGGATGCGTTTATCTAGGAGATGCACATACATTTCGTAGACGGTACGCATCCCCTATTCTTGTTGGAAGAGAGCCTGGAGCGACGGATGCCGAACAGGAACTGGCTGCTGAAAGATTAACGGAACTCTCCTCTATTACGAACCTTTTCATTCTTCGACGAACCAATGCTCTTCTTGCAAAAGTACTGCCCCCCAAGGTTATCATCGTGAGTTGGTCTCCCAATAATGTGTTACGCATGAATATGGACGCGTAGCGCGACGAAAAGGCATGTAAGCTTCCTGAAGTACAGATGCATGGGTGCTGGCGTGTGTGTGGGTCCACTCAACAGAATTTGTTTTGCAACCTCACGCCGCTGCAAGTCGCCTTTTATCAAGAATTTCTTAGGTCTAAATGGTAGGTTCCGCTGGATATCGGCAGCTCTACAAGCTGCAACTCTAGCAATTCATGGCAAGAAATCATGAACTACATTCTGCAGTTTGCGGTGCTGCGACACGGCTTAGGCTGCGCTCCATTCTGATTCATCCCTTTTTCAACATTGATTTGTTGGAGAATAGTGTAGCTCTCTAATGGTGTTTGTGACCTGATACTTAGCTGCAGAAAGCTGTTGGACACGGATGGCAGCGGTGGTTCTTCTGGTGTTACTGGGAAGGTCCTGTCATCAATACAGGGGCTCATGAAGCTTTGTAATCATCCAACACTTATTAAAAACCAGTCGCTCCTTCTTACGGTGGGTGAATGAAACAGATCCAGCGCTGCATTGCGGTGCTCGTAGCGGACGTGTTGCTGAAACTTTTCATTTGAATAATGTTCTCTGGCGTTTCATGCTTGTGCACCGACCCGAACGTGACCGGCGCGCAGTTCAGTTCTCTGGAATAAATTCATCATCAGCCTCCATATTCCAGAGGTGATGAGATTAACTTCGGTAGCCGGTATGCATATGACTTCCTTGACAACTGTTCTTGCACTGCTGTTTTGCCGTCCCTTCAAGGGATTCGAGAAATGCGCGAGACTTTTTGAAGATCTAGACATAGAAGGCACAAAGGCCCGCGTCCGCTCAATCCGGCCTGATATGTCCGGGAAGATGCTGCTGCTTGCAAGGCGAGTTACTCCATTTGCCACTTCTCCATCCGCATTGCAGCAGCATCAACTCTCGGGTGTATATAAGAAGCGCCGACCACATCCCATGCATGCTGTTGCCGGTGGTGTGCAGACCCATAACCAAGAACACCTTACCAGTCTAAAGTTCTTGTGTGTGTCTGTGTTCTTCGCTCCCATCAATACGGTATGGTGCAAGTATGCATGGCCACCGTTTCTCGGTTGTTGGGATTGGTGAGCTGGACGATATGTAGTTCTGCGCGGTTTGTTTCCATCAGATTATTGCATGCCATCCGCGTGAACACAAGTGACAAGGTTGTACTCATCAGCAACTACACGCAGACCCTTGATTTGTTTGAGCGGCTTTGCAAGGATTCTGGTTATCCTTGCGTTCGCCTGGATGGCACGACATCTATCAAGAAGCGCCACGATCTTATTACCGTAAGCCACATATGTGGTGCTGTCTGCTGTGTAACGCCTCCGCTCTGTATTTTATATGACTTTCGGAACACTTTCTTCATTTGCACGTGGACCGTATGTACGCAGAAATTCAACGAACCCAGTGGCTCGGCCGCAACCAGCTTCGCGTTCCTACTTAGCAGCAAGGCTGGAGGGTGTGGTGTGAATCTAGTGGGTGCAAATCGCCTTGTTCTCTTCGACCCAGACTGGAACCCGGCAAATGACAAACAGGTGCGGATGCACTATCCGGGTAAACGGCAATCCACTTAACCCTCCCACGCTCGCCCCTTGCTAGCTTGTTACACTTGCGTGGATACACAGAGTGAACACCAGCCATCAGATACCCTACATGGTTGTGTTACAAGGCTTTGGCTCGCGTTTGGAGAGATGGCCAGAAGAAGACGTGCTATATATACCGACTGTTTAGCACGGGGACCATTGAGGAGAAAATATACCAGGTCAGCTGAATTAGTGAGCGCAGCCTCCCTTGGATGGAGGAATAGTACTCAACGTTTGCAACTTGCGGCGGAAATCGCATCTGCTGTGCCGTTTGGATTGTTGTCACCTTTTCAGAGGCAAATATGCAAGGACGGTCTTAGTGCCATGCTTGTCAGCGAAGGGGAAAACCAAATAAAGGATTCGTAAGCAATCGGGCGAATCGCATGAATGTCACAGCCGTTCCTTCAGCAACTCCATTTCGCAGGCAACTGATCAGCGTTGTCATTCCACTGGCGTGCAGGCTTTCGACAGACATAGTAAAAGACTTATTTCAGCTCCGTGCAACGCGATCTGACACGCACGACATGCTCCACTGCCAGCGTTGCAAACGTGAGGTTGCACTTAGCACACCCATTCGCTGCCACTGCTGTTCCGTTGAAGGCACACCGCAAGCGTACGCGGCTGAGGCATTGGCCTGTCCGCTGGAGAAGTAGAAGGTAATCCTCAAGGGTAGTGCAAGCAACATGAGCCTGTTGCTATTTGCACAGGCCGGTTTTCTTTAGAAATTTGCAAGTTTCTGAAGGCCTTGTGGAGTGCCATCTGCAGAAACTGAGGACGGCAAACTTCTGGGAATGGTCCCACAGCTACCAGATGGGTTTGAAGAAGACGGTAAGAGAGACCTGCAGAATGTTTTATCCACGAGTGCCTTGTTCCGGTAGGCAGTTGGAAAGAACACATTTATGTTGGTCTGAGTGCATGCTAGCTCCACTCGAAGGAAGTAAATGCAATGCATCCCGTAAAGCTGTCGAATTTCTGGGAATGCTTGGCGATTTGACCTGTCTACTGGATATCGCTACAGAAGGCATTTGATTTACTTCTGTTTAGCGGAGCCCGGAAGAAATGTACTGTTGGAAAAGGTTTAATCGATCCTATAGACGAGTGAAACTGCACCTTTGCGGTTCCTCTGTGCAGATCTTCTCACCTGGGCACATCACTCGGATTTGAAAACAGTCCCAGACGCAATGCTGCTCAAGGCAATTGAAGCAGACCAGGAGAATGCTCCAGAACAGACGTTGCTTGGACGGGGGGTTTTAGCGGACGATAACGGTACCGACGATCTGAAGGGGGCAGCTGAACATTTTCAGCCAGTTTCATTCGCAATGTCTTGCAGAGTTGAATTTAACAAAGAGAGAGAAGAACACTTGCGTCTCAGCACGGTGGGGGTCTGGCATTGCACCAACACTGCTGAACAGCAAATTTATGTTGTTTAAACATGTAACTCGGTTGCTGCGTATCGCAGCGCACCCAGGGTTGTATCGCATAGCCCCAATAGCATTTCAAGGTTCATCACAGCATAATAATCTGCAGAAGCCTGCATTAGATGGCTGCGGCTTTCTCAGGCAAATGCTGCTGAAGTGTCCTTGCTGAAGAAGCAAAAGAACGAACCTGGGTCCAGCGCAGTTGGGTCTGAGCAAATTTCAGCAGTATCTGCCCACCTAAAGTGTGCCTCAGGCCTACCGACGTCTGATTGTTCTGCGAATGATCTAGTGGCGAAGCCTATCGACTATAACGTTCCAGAACTTACGTCGGATGGGAGGCAGACTGTCACTAGTGAAGCATTGACAACCGCTGCAGCAAGCCCTGCAGGGCAGCCCTTCCGTCATGATGGAGGCGTGTCAGGACTTTCTAGCTCTGGCGAAGGCACTACGACGAGCGAAGATGACACACATACTGAGGATTCAGATGCAGTTATGGAAGAGGCAAGCGACAGTGGTTCTGATTAAGAATGTTTCTGTGTAATTCTGCACGTACCTGCGTCTAGCTTTTTTTGAACACCGACAGCAACGTCTCCCGTCAGTCTAGAGTGTGGAGATGGCTTTGCATCGGCATTGTGTGGAGGGGCCGTAATGCAGTTTGTGCAACAGTGACCTCTTCAGGGTGCCTGGTTTACGAGCCATGAGCCCTTACAGAGTAGGCCACAGAACACCAGCAAAAATCATACTAACAAAAGGCAAATACTAAAATTGTTCGCATGTTGGTGGATGTGCCAGCTAAGTGCAGGCGCTCTTCCGCCCCTGCATGGGTAATTCTTAAATAGGTGAGGAAGCGTGGTATGCAACACACATTTGTGGTGAACAGATGAAGCCGTTGCGCAGGTCGTGGGTGTCACGAAACATGCGGCTCTGAAGTGCTGCGTAACGGTCGGCAATCAGTTTTAGCTTATGTCAGCTGCCTTGTTTGACAAACCGTTGGCGTGCAGCTGGCAGCGTAGGAACAGCTGGTAGTAGATTCACTAGAGACGTGACAACGCAGCAGCACAAGACCCGATCAGAAGTGCATGCTTACCTGCTTCGATTTATGCATCCTTACGAATAGCTTTTCTAAGGGAAGCGTCTATGTCTATTGTCTATGTAATGACATGCCAACTCCCCGCCATCCTCTCAAAAAAGACTATTCAAGACTGGCAAAATGTAACGCACTGTGTCTAGCGTGGTAGCCTAGTGGTGAATTACGCTACAGATCATGAATATCGAATGCTCCAGGTGCGCGTCAGCTGTACCTTTGTGCACTTCTCGTAACACTAAAGAGTCAGTTCTGCCACTACACGATGACCGGAAGAGTAGGGTGGTGGCATCAAACTGGCTAGCGTAGTGTGGCATAATCACCAAAATGTTCACTTGGTTGCCTTTCCCTCTGCCGGCGTAGAATACAGGTCGTTAAGTTGCATCCAGGCAGGGTTTCCTCATTGGGCTGTACGTATTGCAGACATACTGGAAGCTTGGTGTGCCTCGCCATGGCTGTGCACGCTGCTTGAAGCACAGAGCTGTTTAGAAGTACAATATAGTTGGGGAGGCTGAGAGATATTTCGCCAGGGTCCGTGTGCAGATGCTATTGATGCTTAGCCTGGAGAGGCTCGGGAGCAAACGTGTCTCTAGGATATCCAAGACAATGAAGCCTGTAAGCAGAAGCTTAGTTGGCGAGCATCACAGGCTTTGTTCACCGTATATTGTGTGGCTGGATTGGATATTAAGGCAGTGCAAATATCCAGAACAACCCTTGGATCAACGGAGAAGACTCGCATCAGAATCATTAACTGTAGCACAATCTGTGGACGACACCCACCGCAACAGCTAGCGTTTTTCCTGGCAGCATGCGTGGTTACACGAGCTGCCGACGCCCGTTGGCATCATATTCCCAGATTTTTCCAGACCTTGTATTTATTCTGCGCGAAATCAGACTTCTCAACATCGCCGCCTAACTGGGTAATTGTGTAGCCGGAAGCAGCTGGCAAGTACCGGTACTGAACTGATCCCCAGAAACTAGAGGGCCTAGATCTCCACAAAAAGCCTTATTGGCATTCAAGTGCACTGCAAATAAATACGCAGCTTGTGCCGCTTTTGCGTCACTATCAGCCTATCAGTGTACAGGGTCCTGGACCCCGGTAAGTAAAGAGTGGCTTCCTAGCCAAATAAGGCTAGGCGTTCCTCCAGAGATAGTTGAGCTAAAAGATATTAAAAATCGCAGTATCAACTTCAGCGCACAACTACCGCCAATTGCAGACCAGAACTGTGCGGTGAATCTGTTCATTTGGAAAGCGTTCTATGGAATAGCTCGAATGCAAAGGATTTCATGAATAGGTCCCGAATCGCATTCCTCTGGCTGGGGCGACACTTCATACATATTTGCATTAAGGCGAACTGATGAGCTTTCTTAACATAAGCACCCCATCCATCACTTGCTGCTCCATCTCCATTCTCATGTTCGGGTGGCAGCAGAATGGAAAACAAGCCAACGCCACGCAGAGACAGAAACTAGCACAACTTCCGTACACGGCCCTACAAGACACCTCTCAATGCAGGCATGCCAAGGTTTCAACCAAGGTTTACCATTTGCACACATGTCGAGAGAATCCACGATGCAACGGCAATGCAGTTCGGGACTAGGAAGCGTAGCCCTTGACAGATGACACAGAGTTTTAGATAAATGGCGCCTGTAACGATAGAGATAGGGCAATGCCAATAACAGCAGCGAGCATAAAAGATAGCAAAACCCCTGTAATAAACAAGATAAGCGGTCCAAACAGGACTGCGAATGTAAGCAAAAGAAATGCCGCTAATAAGTTGGCGAAGACTTTGCGCAAGATAGACAAGATAGACGTGTTCTTGACCGATTGTCTTGGACCACTCACACTCTGACTGGAGTGCTCTGCCGTTTTTCGTAGAACAGACAGCAGGAGAGTTGCGGTCCAAATAGTCAAGAAATGACGACCTAGGCCATCTGCTGCTGCACGGTGACCCACGAAGATCCAACCAACAAGCAGGCTCAAAATCATTAGTTTCTGAACCCAAAAACTCTTGTCAGGAGGCTTGAGCTGAGTCTCTGGCACGTGTCCAACGACGTAAGTTTCCGAGACTATCACGGACCGTGAAGCAGCTTCAGGAGGTCTTTGTAAGCTTGCATGATCCTTCCCTGGGGTTTCTCGCCGTTGTCTGTTCTTAATGCTCGAAGAGAACGAGCGAGTGCCGTCAGAATAGGGAGATGCAGAAGATCGAAGTATACGTATAGGAACATCCGCAGCTCCTACCGTGGAGTAAGTCTCCCAGAGGTTCCTCATGGAGTAATCTTCCACTTCCTGGCTTCCCCCGAGTAGTGGAGCAGACTCCGTGAACGTCAGCTCTGTGTTTGCCGCATTGCCGTGAACCGTGAGATTAGCTGCTGTGACGACATACAACCATGCAAAGAAATAGACTCCCTCACAGAACTTCGAGCACATTTTTGTCGAAGGCCGCTCCACGACGTAGAAGACAGAACTGCACGGGTGAAGCGGTTGAGATTTGGGATCCCACAGTACTCGTCCGCTCCCTATGTTTCGAGGAAAACGCAAATATTAATAGTCCGGAAAATGTAAAGTTTTAAGCTATTAGGATTTATGATAAGAGTTCACCATATCGTTATCAGTCTAAACGCGTTGGTTGACCAACCAAGCTTCGACACGCTCGATCGATCACTCATCTGGTCGCAATGACACAACTCAGGATTTCCACTCCATCATATGGGAGTCGCCACCATTTTGTTATTCTACTTAACTGGAATCTTGCTTTGATACGACTCACATGCGTAAGTATCACTTCGCCTCAAGGATCCTATTCCCTAGCCCGGGTAGGAGTGTCTTGAAGCACAGGTAGGTAGACGTGCAGTTGTTGCAAGCATCTTCGCTGCCGTGTTGCTGAATTTCATGTGTATGCATCACATTTCGTACTATTACCGTGTACAGAAGCTACAATCCTCCTCCATTGTTTGGAAGCAGATGATTGTGGGGAGTATTTGCTATCTATACAAACCGTTACTAACCGTGCATCCCACCTTAGCTGGGCCTTCTCTTCCGGCAGAGTAAAATGGCCACTCAGAATCTGGTTGGTATATGCTTACTTGTGTGCAAGCCAACAGCAGTGTACACTGGTACAAATTTTATCGGTTCAGCGACACTCGAGAGCTGCAGCCGATTCCAATTAATTGCCACACCAATTCCTTAGGAGCAGGTGATTTCCCTTCCCACCTTCAGGCGTACTTGGGCAGCTGTGCCGGTTCGGGCCGACACAGCAACCCATGTGAGTCCATGTGCCTGGAGCGGGAACTGCGACGGGTTGCCATAAAGTCTTGCTGTCAGAAACGGTGCAAAATAACTCTCCATGCATGCACAGCTTAGCCAATTAGGTTCACTTATTTGTTAAACAGTTCTCTACAGGTGCTTTCTGGCTGGGTTGCCTTGCAGCACCTGCAGAGTGCAGCCTCTTCCCAGCAACGCAAATGCTCACGAAGGCTGTGAACCGGACCGGAGCTAAGCTGGTTTCTGAGGGCGTTTAACCGGTATATTTGGGCTCTACTCATTCATTGTGTCTCCTATATAAGGCCCTCTCGCGACCTTGAGTGGGCAACCTGCATGGCTAGTTCATTCGGCAGGTATGTTGTTACACACTTCGGGCGAGACACTAAAATGTTGTTGCCTACGTACTTTCTAAAGTCCATAGTACAATATAAACAACAAAATCGAATTGGAAATCCTTAGCGTACATACAGAAGCAGACAATAACAGAATAACCGTAGGGTTTACTACAGCTCCGCCCAAAGCACGTGCTCTAAGGTCATGCGACGACCTGAAAGGGCAGATAGATCTTAATAGGCATAATTTAGTAGTCGGGGAAAACTTGGAGTTGTATGCGTTCTAACTGCCCTTCCCCGAGGATCTTTTTTTCTGAGGATCACTGCCTGTAGACAGTGATTTAGCAGCCTTTAGCCCTTAGTCAATATGTTCGTCCTACGTAAAAGTTGTGGATGGCACAGCTCGCTACACACGAGCATTGGAGATGGGAGTGTCCCAACGATTCGGTGTCTGCCAGAGCTAGTCTGGAGGGATGCATAATTGGGGAACCAGGTAAGGAAAAATCCAAGTACTGGACTTCTCACCTTTTCGGTCTATGGTCGAAGAGATGGCGGTTTTGAATACCGAGAATAAAGGATTTTTATATGCTAGCAAATGATGGGTTCCAGTGAATAGACCTCATTCTTCACATCCTACGTATTTAGGAGGGGATCCTATTAGTTTTGAAGTAGAATGCTTGTCCGTGAATTGACTGATACCAGGTCCAATTAAATCGGTTTCCGTACCACGTAATAAATAAGCTATAGATTCAACTTAAACCTACTGATTCAGCCAATTCAAGTCAAATGCTGAAATTTGTTGAGTTCATTTCAGTAGAACGCCCTGTCTGCAGGAAAAAGAGCAGTGCGACGTCTGCATTCAACGAACAACAAGACAGTACGCCGCTAGGCTGCTGATGCGGACCACTGGATCCTATAACTGCTGTGCCTTAGCCACAGTTCGCTCAACTACGAATCTCTGTGGAAATTCAGTGTTGCATGGACTATGCACACTGTGAATATTGATGGAGAAAACCTTCCTTTGGTACAGCTGTTCTCCCTTCTACGCAAGACGGCAGCGCACACAAAGAAAGTCACTTCGCGCCCACCGTTTCATACAACAGACAATGCAAATATGACTGAGTATGCCTTTTTTTATTTACAACAATAGTCCAACTAGAAAAGTAAGTCAAGAAGCCCTACGCTTCTTATTTGGGTGACCGGGAGGAAGATTTGCCAGATTCGCATGGCGCCGTTGCGCAGTGGTGCTAGGACCCGTCAGCTGGTAGTGGTTGAGCGCTCCGATTGTGTCACTTGGAACTTCTTAGCGAGCTCACTGCCTTCAATTAACTTTTTATGTTCACCTTTGCTGAAACATGCAAATTTCAGAGCTCCAGTATCGTATTGTCATTTGATTCTCCTAATGCCTCCAAACTCGTCATTGAATTCGACTCCGTCCAGGCTTACGCGCTGACCAGGAACTCATCTTTACTCTGATCGGCCTCATTTTAAAAGATTTTGTTGTCTATGAAAGAAATCACTAGCTTGTGCGCGACAGTTGAAATAAGAGGTTGTGGGGGCATTGCTTTTCGTCAAGCCGGCGGCTGCTAGTGGAGGCGGGCGTTTAGGGAGCTCTTGGACGCTACCATAACAGCATGCAAATGGTTTTTGCTTTTTCACTGATTAAAGGCTACAGTGTGCTGTACTGCCCATTAGTCTGGAGGACCTGGATGTGGGCTGCGTCAACTCAGTATACGCACTATACGCAGGAAGCCTGAAAACAGCTGTCTTCCCGTTGAACGAAGCTCCTACAAGGTGAGCACCTGAGGAGAAGGGCGCTGTGTGGAATTGTCATGAGCAATATGCAGGATGTAGACGCGGACGCTCGCCTGCTTGAGGATGGCAGAGCAGCTTCCGAAGCCCTTCAACCTGACAGCAGGTCTCCGTGGAAGGAGGCAGCCCAAAGGAGGAAGTGCATCCGAAATGCTCAGTATTTGTTGTTATTTAACTTGGCAGCGGGTCTCGTTCTTGGTCTGGTCGTAGCATCCTTCTGTATAAAGTGCGTTCCTCCCTCAGAGTGAATCCTCCGTCTGCACCTGGTCACTACGCTTTTCATAGGGAAGAACATAAGAACGGAAGCCGGAATGTTCACTGCTCCGTTCACTGATGCAATGAACCGGTAAACTTGTGTAGGGTGTTCACGTATTTACAGACCCGGCCTGGGATACCCCTGGATGCCGCACCGGCTTCAGCGTGTTTCCCTTCTACTCTTTGCTTGGGAGTTCCACCTCTTTTTCGTCGCCCCGCCCATCTGCTTGCTGTGGAGGCTTAGCTCTGCGGCCAGGGCAAAACAATGTGAGCGCGTCCAACACTTCCCTACTAGTTGCCGCGAATTGGTGTTCTAGAGTTTTCTAGGGGCATTACTGCCTCAGCTGTTTAATATATTGCGGGTTGCAGGTACAGCTAACGGCCGCGAGTCGGTATGCATCCTTCTTCTCGCAGTTTGTGAATTTGGCTGCGGGATCTGTGCGTCGGCAATGAGCGCATTCAGCATCTATACAGGAAGGGTCCTTGTTCCAAGGGTAGCGTCCAATGGCTTCATCACACAAATGTCCTTCGGGATGGGAGCGTGCCTACTCTTCACCCTAATTGGAAACGCGAAGTTCCGCATTGCAAAGAGTATCAAGAGCCGAGCACTCCGGTAGGCCGTGTAAGAAACCGCTGAGCTATCGCCTGTCGCCTCTTCCCTGGCGGCAGTGCCCCTCCCAACAATAACACCCCACCACTAATAATTTGTTGGCTGCTCGCGGCAGGCACCTGAATATATAGGTGTAACTGCCTATATGTCAGGTTCGAGGCAGAGCTTTCAGTAGCAGGAGCAATCTTAAATATGACGCTGGCCCTCTCTGCTGCATTAGCATTCGCACAGTCTGGCCTCCCAGGGAAGAAGTTGTCGGTGAGCAAACCGGAGTATACAAACAGTTATGGCAACAATGCAGTGGAATTTAAGGCCACCGAACGCGGACTATGTGGCTGCCCTCTTTACGAGCACACGATCTGGCGCAAGCGGGTTAGCGTTGTTCTGTTTTGTTTGGCTGTTCTGGCCCGCGCAGGTGATTGGGGCGGCTGAGTACCCAGTCATGTTCCTTGGTGCTTTGCTGTTGGTAAAGTCGCTCACCCACTTGACAAAAGAACTCTTGTACCAGAGGAAGGCAGCGTCGAGAGAGACCATGGGGCACTCAGACTAAGCCTTTGCACAGGTGTGAAATTTTCATATTCCAAGGTCCCAGCAAGACATAAAGCCAACAAGGGCGAGGCGCCACCAAATGATGGGATTTGTCGCCCACCGCGCTGCCCAAATTCGGCCAAACTAACGCGACTGAAGGTTTAGCTTCGCGTCATCCCCGTTCACTGGTCACATTCACTCTTGCACGTAAACTTGCAACTGCTAAGTCAGTTACACTCACTTGCACCGCCTATGGTCCAGAAACATGCGGTGCTCTAGCATGGCATGAGGAAACAAGACACACCCAAGTACGCCTTGTCTGCCGCCGCCCTAAACCGAGCACCATACCAACTAAAACCCGTCCAGCAAGTTGTGCCGGGCCATTGGCACACTACATTGGGATGCCTCATGCCTCCTTTGCGTAATAAGCTACACTGTTTAAATTCTTTCACCCCGTCAACGATCTCTGGGAAGTACCCTCGCCTTCGACAGTGGGGCCTCTAGAAAAATTCAACGCCAGCATCGGGGATGGAGGGCTCTCAATGGTGCTCTTTGCAGCTTGGTAGCACACGTTTGGTTTTCTACTTTACATGCTAATCAAAAGCATGAACCTCTGAATAATCGAGTTCCCCAGGCTCTCGCTCTTCGCACACTGGCACGGCTTCACCCTTAGTTGGTGTAGATTGCACGCCTGCATCCCTGTTGGATATGTGCGGCCACATTTCCGTTTCAGTTGTAGTCCTCCGTCTGCGGAGTCGCTGACGCTTAATCCTCCTCTGCTCTCTGTTTTGTTCATCCCATATGAACCGCTTGTCTTCTCGAGGAATTCTGCAAGTTCCACACACAATGTTCGCTCCAGTGTCGAACCACGAAATTACGGGGAGAAACTAGAGCTAGAATGCCCTGGGTGTCACTCTATGAGGCACATGCTCATGAAGTAATCCGGTGAATGTCTCCCGTGCCCCTTAGCCTTACCTATCCTGCAGCAAGCGCAAGAAAACACCACCTGGCGTGCGACGCCTTCCGTCGTTTGTCAGCATCCCACCACTGGCTTCAAGTTTCTGAGGCATGAAAAACAGAGGAAATACAAAACATGCGCGATTAGAGAGTCGCACCTGCGTGCTATCTGCACTATTTGCCGTCGTTCATGTGTCAGGATGCTTTCACAAGAATTTGCAGTTCGCCGTTTACCAAGGTTTCTTCGAGCAGTTCTGCACACTCCGAGACTCCCCTGCGGTGGATTGCACGTTCCATAAGTGCAACATTCTTTTCTTTTAAGAGAGTGCACAGCCGAACGAGGCAGTCAACTTCCGATTCATCTCGAAGTAGCTGGCGGACGCCATCCAGAATTTCCGCACGAATCTCTGCCTCCTCAGCTCCATCTAACTCTGTGTTACGGTAGGCTTCACAAAAGGAACTCCCCGATATGAACAACTTGCTGCCGAGTTGCTGACCCACAGTTCGTCCGGCACTCTGAAGTGGATCCCTACAAGGACTCTCCTGAGGTGCTGGTTCACTGCTTTTCAGCACCTTCTGGATTCCATCTTCATTACTCGGGGTTTTCACACTGCATCCCCATAAAGACGCCTCCCATGCTGCTTCATCGTCAGCATATGTACGCTTCACGCCCCGCTGATTCCCCTTATAGCCATCGTTGGAATTTGCGTCCCTCACCGCAACGTTGAGTGCTCTTTTCGTACGAATTGGAGGCCGCCTTGCCACTGATGCACCAGTCTGGCACCCGCGCTGATGCATTCCCGCGAAGGCTCGCCTCACCGGCTGAACTCTTTGAGCAGCCGCCAAACACGCCCCCTGCCCACACTAGGCTGCAAACGGCCAATCTGTCTAGTGCTGATTCTCCAGTGAAAGGTTGCAGTATCTTCTTCACCTGCATCCATATGCTTGGTTACCCTCTTTCCCTGCAATGGCATCAGAAAGAGGTTCAACGCCGAATTGACGAGTGGTGGAAAAGTGGGAGCAATACCTATCGGCGGGCACTTTAGTTCGCGTGGCACTCGGAGAAAAAGCCAAAAGAAACTACAGATGAACAAGCATGAAAGAGCAGCCTTAGAGGGTTAGCCTTCCATCAAGTGGCGTCGTCAAACATTATCAAGGCACCTTCGGCTGTGCTGGGGGCCAGGATATGCTGCTGCAGATAGCTGGGCAAGTCACTTGGTAAGTGTGTTGAGTTCTCTTATCTAGAAGTTTCTGGATATAATAGGTGGTTTTTCTTTTTATGTGTTCTCATCGAAGTCTTAGGCATAGTCATGTGACTCCTTCATCAGAGCCCTGGCTTCATGCAGTGGATGTGGAATGCGCTGGATGCATGCACCATATGAGCGTGGATTGTTGGGATTATTTTGAGACAGAAGCTTTCCTACATATCATTTGTAGTAGCAGCTTTGCTGCTGATATGACATGTCAGAAATAGCCGGAAAGCTTTCCGTTCCGCCTGTTGCTTCGTCGCAACATCGACGTAGGCTGGTGTTTGTATGAGTATATGCATGCATCTGTTTGTGCTTGACTTGGCTTCCTGGATCCAGAAAGTTCTTTAGTACAGCGTTAATATATGCATATACGGGGTATGCGGATGCACGCCTAGGGAAATTTTCTTTCGTGCAACGGGGTCCGGAACACGTTCGAGCACTGCTGTTTCGGACTAGCACGTACGCTGTAGCCTAGATACAAGATGGAAACTGGGGGTCAAGTAGGGACTTAACCAGCAACAGGTTAATTGTGTACGTTTGCGGGTGCGTGTGCGTGGTCTCCCCACATCATACTTCGTGCAACGGAATCCCTTGATCTTATCCAAAGACTACACGAGACGTAGTAGGGTCGGATAACTTCTGGTAGGAGTTCCCAAAGCTACATAGTATAGGAAGTTCCCGTAAGCTTTCCAGAAGTGGTCACATGAACACTCACCCGGATCTAGTAGACAAGTTGTACGCAAGCAAAAATCCTGAACAGCTTTGTACGGTGCTTCTAGATACAGCGGAGAAAGCTTGCTTGTGCTTGTATACGGTTCTGCACTGCACCCTGAAACGCACCAAGGTGCGCTGCAACTCATTGTAAGCTCCCTCCTCTCCCACATACCCAGGGGCTTTAGCCGCTGTGCTGAGTACGCTTGGAGACTGCCAAGGTATGTCAGGTGCATTCCAAGGACTCCCAATTTTTCCATTTTGTCTAGTTCATCTTGCAGTAATCTCGGAAAAGATCGAGGGTCCAATTTGCAATTTGCAAGATCACGTTCGTCACGGGACGCAGATGTAAACTACAAGTTCCATCACGATATACCCCAAAGTGGATAGCAAATGAATACATACTGCATAGAAGCAGGCAACTTCAGGCAAGGTAATTGATCAATAATAACAGGCAAGCTAGTGACAGCAGAACCCTCAAGTCTTTGAACGCCTGCAAACTGGAGACGATACCGCTTTGCTTTGATGAACTATTGTCGTATGTTTTCTGCTTCAATTGGAGCTCTCGACCCTCCTATAAGAAGTTCTAGGACTCACGCAAACGTAGAACCCTGCAGATCAACCCCACATACAAGCATACCTACGCCCTGTTTGAAGCACGATCTCACATTGTAGAGAATTGATAAACGCGTACTTGGTGCGCAGGGGGCAGCCACTACACGACTAGAAAGGCCCGTAGCAACTTGAGGCTCAGCATGTTACACTGTGAGTGACCAACGGCAGTTGGTCGGCGAAGTCTCCCCAACAGGAACGACACAAGACGAACCTGACAAAGAAATAAAGGCTTCCCTCATTGCAGATAAAAGCTCACGCGTTACACCGTTCTGCCACAGTGTCAACAATCCTATGCACCGACGCCAACCTGTGACCGGGGGAGAAAATGAAAGGGTCTCCAACAGCCTGCTGGCACGTCAGTGTACCTGTACTCGCAACAATCAGACTTGACTTACTCGAGAAGAAAATCCAGGCTTTGTATCTAGTTGCTTCGGTGGAGGCGTGTTTCAAGACGCGCGGGTAATCCTACTAACCTATGGCTCCACCTACGGTACTCGATTCTTAGAACATTTAGCACTATTAATTCACTTTCTTAGTTTCTAATGTGACAGTCATTCTCGTTATGGTCACTGAGCTACTAGAGATCACACCAGAGCCACACTGTATTGCCTGTGCACAACACTCACCCTGGTACGGTTGGGCTGGGCCCGGCAGTGTTCACAGGGAGGAATCGAGAAACTTCACGACATCACCTTCACACTACAGTGAAGATAATATTCATGTAGTCTATCAACCTTTCCTTGGTTAATAGAGCTTGGCAATGTCGTTTTAGCTCAGTGTGGAAACACTCATCTAAACTGGGTGCTTGCTCCAAAGGACAGGCAGGCACTCGTTAGTTCGAGAGCTGCTTCCTTGAAACATGCTCATCCTCGCTTGCCTTTAAGGATACAATTTCCATTTTAACTGGTGTGAGCAGAAGGTCTTCTCAGTGGTGCATGATCCGGCAGCCATATACTAGGCGGTTCTTGTTCTAGACATAGACGGCCCGAGCAAAAACTGAAAAGTACAATCACCAGGAATTACCTTATGGCACCCATGTTGCCCAGATGAGTTGGGGGAGTGGAGAATGAATCTAGTACTCCGAGCAGCTGACCGCTGTGGAAATCTTTGGCCATTTGTCTCAAGGAGTCCCACTTGCAACACCATTGGTTACACCTTAGCAGGATCCATTAGACGAAGTCCCAAAAATACGTGTGACGATACTTTTGTTGGCCGCCGAACGAGAGTAAAGAGGGAAGTTGCTGCTGTCGAAAGAGCTCAAACACGTACTACTACCGCCACAGGAAGCGTCGGAATCCTCTCTGCAGAACTTCGACCGTCATGGGAAAGCAGCATTGGCACATTTAGGAAGGGGCAACATGACAAAAGAACTGGCTTCTATACTTGCTACTTACGCTACAAATGCTTACCAAAGTGCAGCTACTTTGGCAATCCCGCACTACAACATGGAGTGGCAGGTTTCGGCTGTGTCTGCAATATAGAGACCGGCAAAAGCGCCCAAACCTCTGGAGGAATGCTCGTCGTGGACTCTCAACTTCAACTGAGACGAGGGGCTCTCGATTCCGTAACAGCACTGCAGCCGCCGTTCGGGGTGGATACGGAGCACTTCTTTTCACCCGCTTTCACAATACAAGGAGAGGGGAGACGGGTTACTCCATTGGCGATTTTCCACTCAGAAAAAGCGCATACATCCCCTGAAACAGTAAGCATGAGCGCAAATGATTATATGCAGGATACATTAGCCAGGTCTAGTGACTCCCAAACACAGCGCCGTTGCGGTGCAAACCCCATACCAGCCTTGACAATCGCTGCGGCAGCTGTTTTTGCCTTTCCGATCAAGTGGGGCGGGAAAGGAAATGCATCTCACCAGTACGGAAAAGAAGACGACATGGATGCAGTTCAAACAGGCGACGGGTCCACTACCCATTGCAAAACGATTGAATACGGCCCTGAGAGCACGGTTTGTACTTACCAGCGCGTTCATCCCTGGCGACCAGCCCAACACGCACTCACGTTGATAGGTAGAGGGCTTCAAGCGTTGCAACAGTACATTATTGTCCTTACGGAGCAACTTGGAGGCGGGCATGGCGGCTTATTGGGAGCCCCTATGCGCGTCAAAGACGCCTCACGGCTTCTATGGCAAGTTTTTCAGGACCCTCTGGAAATTATGGGCTCCGCCGTTAATCAGGCTCTTGGAGTGGTCATACTGCATAAAGACAAAGTTTGCAATAATACCTGTCCAGAAGCAATCAACAAAATACAGCCTGTACAGGGCGACCACTCATCTGAGAAACGGCAAGTCGGTGAAAAACACGCGGATGCGAATTCCAATACTTTTTCGGGCGAATGGGCTTTGGATACCAGTTGTACTCGTTTCCGCCCAGACACTTGGGTTGGGGACTTACCAGAAGATGTAGAGTGCTCACCTGGGGTCCAGCATCACTCAGCGCAACCGAAGATGCTTGACAGTAGCGCACCTTCCAGTGAAAGTGGAAGCTGCGTTGGCGTTAACCACCTTCTGTCTATGCTGATGGCATCGTATAGGGCACTATTGCTATTCATCCGAACCTTCGGATCTGTTCTGCTAAGGCTAATTCATGTTGTGCCTTTAGGGCTCACTGCAGCCACCGCAGGATTTTGGCTGCTTGGGTTGCCCTACCTCTCAGTTTGCTTGAGGACGATAGGCTTGGGGAGCAATTGGGTACTGCATTGGGAAGCTATCGCCCAGCGCGAATTGGAAGAAGTAATGTTCATGGCAGTCACAGCAGCAGCATCCGCTGCAGGGCCAACCTACGTCAAATTCCTGCAGGTGCTGCACATGCTGTTGCTTCATTGGCGCTAGGAAGTTTTCAGACCGACATGATTTAGATGCATGTGCGACTTCGTTTGCAGTGCTTTTCCTTTAGAAAAAAATGCAGTATTTCTGTGTGTCGTTTGCAGTGGATTGCTACTCGGCCGGACTTATTTCATGAATCCCTCTGCTCGCGCTGTGCAAGGTAAGGATATTACCAGCAAAGTTGTTGAGCACTGAGTTGCGCACGGAGGTCTACATAAATGCGGATATCCATGGATTTGGCGTGCTCTTCTTTTGCGTATTGTAGACTGCAGACATCAGTTCGTCCCTTCTCCTATCCACGAGCCGCTCTGCTTCTCCGGGAACAATTTGGCAGTGATGTTACACGTCACTTGCTGCTTGATCCGACGTACGTTGTTACCCCTTACCCACGATTGCCCTCAGTATGCTAATCGCCGGATCTGCACTGCTTTTCGAAGCTTCTGAGTGTATGTCTTCGATTTGCGCTAAATCCTTAAAAGCAAAATGAACGCCTGGGTTTACGTTCTGCCCTTAGACCAATCGGATGCGGCTGCATTGCCCAGGTATACCGCGCATACCTTTTGTTGTCAAACGAAGCAAGTGAAGAGTCAAAACGCACATTTCTCGACCATGCCTATGTTTTAGGCGGCAGTAGTTCAAAATGTGCAGCTGCAGAAATAGGCGGCGGCAACAAGCTGCCACCAGTCGCCGTTGCAGTGAAGGTAATGAGACCTGGAGTACGGGAGGCGATGGAATTTGGTGGGGCAAGCCTTCCTGCTAACATTGAGCAGCGCGACTGCCTTCTGCGAGAGGCCATGCCTAGCCATCAGACACCTGAGTTATCGGTACCTCCATTGTTCGTGTGCCTACATTGCAGACCTCCGCGTGATGCTTCTCGTCGCCTCGGTTCTTCAGCTTCTGCCTGCCTTCGGGTTTGTTGCTTTGAAAAAGAGGTGAGAGGGCAGAAAATCGCTGGTTGGACTGCGGGTTTTGCTGGTTTCTATGATGATGTCGTGCTGGTGAAACGAAGGTTACAATATTGACTTATACTGTGGGACAGGGCTCATGCAGAAACAAAACGTTACTAATGTTATATTAATTTGTTACACTTCGATGCATAGCCACTTTCTGCTTGGCACGCCTGGGTACAGGTAGAGAAGATGCGGTTGGAGTTAGTTCAATGAATCATTCATATGCCTCAAGCGAATAACGCAGAGGCAGCAAACTCCAACCGCTGAATGATTCATTGAACTAAGCTGTTTCGCCACCTCGTATCATACCTGATCATTTGCACCTCTGTGCCTATTTGTGCTATCAATTGCTAATGGCTTGCGCTCCTCTCTCAGCGTGGAAGAGTTTGCAGTTTCAATGCGTCGGCAACTGGATTTTGGATTGGAAGAGAAACATCTCAAACTCTTTCGCTCAAATTTTGGGCTATCGACAGATCCCATTCCGAGTGACATCCTACCCCTGCGTAATAGGTGCAGGCGGCATAGCGAGCCCGAGCAAAGTGATTTTCTGACGGCAGGGCCGAAGGCAGAGCGTCACCCCACCAGTATATTCGGCTCTTTGTCGCGGAAGATACTTGGGATGCGTCGGCAGGTTACATTTCCGTACCCATTTGAGGCTTTAAGCAGCAGCGAAGTTATTGTCATGACCCTTGAATCCGGCTTCACTCTCAACCAGCTGTTTAAAACGAGAGCTGAACTGCAAAAGCAAGATGATTCGTCACGCATTCAGCGGAGTATTCGCAGAGATCGAGGCCCATCGATGACTAAACTGGAGCCGGGTGGCACTTCAGGGGTTCTAGCCAGCCCCGCTGCGCAAAAGATAATAGAGGTGTAGTCTTGTAATCGATATGAAGCTATTTGGGGGTTTTCAGTATAAATATTTTGGTTCACAATGTTGGCCTGCTTGTGTGTTGGTATCCTCTCCTGCTTACGGAAAATTTCAGCGTTTCACCAGCGTTGGGATGATCTGCCTCCATTCGTTTCTTAAAATGGTGTTCCTGGACAACTTTTTCCACGGCGACATGCACAGCGGCAACCTACTATGCCGATTTGCACACCAAAATAAAGAGGTATGTTGGTGCCTTTGCCCTTTTTGTGTGCACCTGGTTCTGGAAGAATACTTGTTGGCTGTGTATGATGGCATAAATACGCTGGAATATTCTTCTTTTGAGGTGGCTCATAAGGGTGTTTGTTGTGGCAATGCAGCTCATATTTCCCGTCTTGCCTGCAAACGTGCCACCTCGGTTGCGTACAAGCCTGTCACACCTTGATGGTTAGCTTTCCTTCAGCCTTGGGCAGTTCACGTAGATGTTAAAATTGAATTCGCAAAAGCGTTCTGATTTCCCTCAGTGCGAGCTTAATTAAGAAAGTTACATTGACACTAATTGCCTTCTAGGGTGTAGCTTCTTCGAAGTGTGCAGTGGGCGCACCGCAGGCCCGTTGGAATTGGTTGTACTGGACTGTGGTCTTGCTGGCTCGCTAGGCCCAGCTGACAGAGTGAATTTTGTCACCCTTCTTGAAGCCATAGCGAAGAGACGCGGACGGGATGCAGGTTGGCGGACACACAAATCCACACGCAATAAAGAGCAATTTCCCCGATGGCGGGGAAATGGCCGAACCATGGAAAAGAAAGCAGTACCCTAGAAATTTTCATGGGGCGATGTATAAATATGAGCTTGATTTCTCAGTAGGAGTCCCCTATACCTTCACCAGCTCTATGTAGGTCGGAATCGGCGAATAGGGGGCACCTATTCCCTAATGCTAATTAACCGCCTTCAACCAGGTCCTACTCATACGACTGTGTGTTTATCTGTGACAATGGCACAGCATTAGCCATTCTTGAAAGGGCGAAGCGGAGCTCGTGCCAGGACAAAGAAGGGTTTTGCTCTGAAGTGGAACAACTGATCAATGAGCATCACTTTGAGGTGGGGCACGTGAGAGGCATTAGCAGACTAATTAGACATTGTTTTACTCACTTCTCCGCAACTCATTTCGGGGAATTGCTTCCGTTTATCCTTTGTATCTTCACCTATTAGGAAGGCAATTCGTTGCAGATGAGTCGAGTCCGGCTCACGTCGTTGATGGGGCATATGCTCTCCGTATCTAAGAAGTACCGTGTGGAGCTAGACCCATCATTTGTCAACGTAAGTTCAAAGTCATTGGTGGCAAGGGACCTGGTATAAGGGGACTTGCCGATCCAAGGACACTGATCACAAAACAATCAGTGGTTCTCAGCATCTCCCTAATGTGCGCTGCAGATTGTAGTGGCAATGTCTGTTTTAGAAGGTGTCGGGGCCCAACTCTGCCCTGATGCGGATGTGTTGAGGACTGCGCTGCCGTACAGTCTGATGGCTGCTAGGCTCCTCAACAATGATAGCAGCAAGGAAGCTTAAAACAGGAGCTTCTACTGCTCTGCGCTGAATGTGCAAATTAGCAAAGGAGCCATGAACCCAGCGGCCAAGGAGACAGAACTTATGGCGGCTTTCGTCAACACTGCGGGGCTTTATGACGCCGCATGCCGTAACAGTAAGTCATCGGTTTGAGCACTGGCTTGCCCCAAGGCGTGCTTTAGCTATGGAAAACAAGTCCTTTCTCTTCTTAATACTCCATTTAGCACCCCACATGCTCTTGGGCAGGTTGAAAGCTACGCTTTGTCCTGTTTGTACGCTGGAGCATTGCCACTAGCGAAAACGACGCAGCCGTACAAACACGCTGCGCGTCACCAGCATTTGCTGTGTAGAGTGTTGAGTTAAACATCTCACCTCACGACCTCAATATCATGTACACAGTACCAGATTTCAGGACCCCAACTCCACACTAACAGAATCCTCGTGTTATGCACCTCAGTAAATAGCATAGACAACCACTGAATGAACTAAAACGTGGACTACAAGCCTGCAGCTCACAGGTTGTGGGCAGGCGCTGACGGCGTTTACCTTTAGTGAGGTTACAGGAGACACTCGCTGAGAGCATTGACCGCGTAAGTAGATATACCTTAATATTGTATATTGGAACTGCACACTTCTCGTTATTTCCGAAGTTCCGCAATATGAGACATTCGGTCAACTGAATGCTGGACAGGTTAGACAAAGTCCAGGAGCGATCCGGCAATGGCAGTGGTTCTCACTACGGCCCTTCAAGCAACGGCATATTGAACCTAGCTTCTCCATATTCTCACTTATTTACTAAGAATGCGATATCTGAAGCAGCTTCTCACTGGTAAGAGAAATCGTAGAGGAATCCCGTGGCTCCGATACAATGGCTTGGCATGCAGGGAAATAGCCCCATGTTCTTGCAAGAAACCACAAACAACAAGCTTCCACTGCTAGGCAAGGTATTTTATATCACTGGTCGCTTGGGAAGAACATGAGTGGCTCTTTCCGAGTCAAAACACAAGCGAGACACTATAAATTCCACCCAGGCGTCTACCACATAACTGGACCATTACGGCATCCAACGCCTGCTGGCTCCTTTCCGCCTGCCTTCATACTCCCAGACCACCTATTAACTACCTTTTAATCTCATGTATAGGCCGATTTCAAAAGATTTAACTACTTCTAGGGTAGAGAAACTCCCCTCCACTGTCACTGTCGGGCAAAACAGTGTGCTGGTCAACCGTTTGGATGGCCGTCAACAGGGTCAGTTTTGGCCTATTTATTCACCGACCCGAGGCATGAAGAGATAATAGTAATCAGTTAGAGAGGCGTTGCATATAAAGAAAAAATGGGCTGTCCTGATGCCCATTGTACTTCTGCGCCCAACACCTTGAGCCAAGCAGGGTTATTCCCATGGGTGCAGACTTGGCGAGGACAGCTAGTAGTCCATCCAGAACGCCGGTCAATGCCTCAGCAAAACTCTTTCGACTTTAGGCACCTTTTCGGCATGCATGTGAGCAGGAATACAGGTCTTGCCACCCAGGAGATGTGCCTGCTTGCCTGACTACTACCCACAAGATTCCCAGAGTTAGTGTGCTGCGTTCTCTGTGTGTGATCATTCCCCACATTTTGACTGCAGTTTCCGCCAATACGTCTCACAGAGTCCGTGGAGGTCGCAATATCATCGAACTTGGCGCTTCCTGCATTGCAAGTTGGGGCAGAACTGCTTAAAATCATCAGATCAAATCTTGTCACAGTTGTCACAGGTAGGGTTTGGTACTTTTCTTTTCGTGGCGTTGTGTCTCAGCTGATTGGGCTATGGTAAAGCTTTTGTACTTAGCCTTCGTATTCCTGGTTCCGTGTTTCCACATTCGGTTTGCGGATGCTGGTATTGATGCTGTCTCCTCTTACAGGTTCAACAGGGTGCGGGAAGACAACAATCGTACCCCTTCTCCTGTTTCTACAACATAAAAATGCGAGACTTCTGATAGCACTACCCAGGCGCATCGCGACACAGATGGCTGCTGAGCGCCTTAGGCAGCTCCTGGGAGACCAGAGACTCGGTAAGCGCAAACCAGAGGTACTGGCAGATTCCACAACAACGGCCCCACTCGTACAGAACGAGCAGATGGTTGGTTCTGCACAAGGACACCATAAGGTGTGCATAGGGTTTAGGTAGGGGAGTGCTAGAAGTTGTGGCGTGAGTTCAGGGCAAACAGTTGGCTACCATGTGGGCCACGAAGAGGCTTGTAAGTCGAACGAAACTCGTTTATTGTTTGTCACAGCCGGTATGCTGCGTAAGTATGTATCCGGCGCCCTCCGTCAGCTGCGCATCATTGGGCAGTCATCTTCAGGCTACCGTCTTAATGAGGAGGTAGCTGAGAGCCAGAAGTTACGGTCAATTTTCCCATACGATTTCGTGCTAGTTGACGAAGTGCATGAGCGCACAATGGATTGTGATATGGCTTTGCTGTTGCTCAAATGCCTGGCGGTGAAGATGACGACTGCCGCTATTCGTGCTCGAATGCAGCTTCCTCTGTTCCGCATAGTCGTAATGTCTGCCACCATCAGCGCGAACGATTTCTCCACCTTCCTTTCGGGGGAGAGTTTGAACATTTTCGAAGCTGAACATTCAGCGTGGATGGACAGAACATGCCTGCTCCAAGTGAAGGGGACACTCCAGGCTGCATCGCAAGGTGGCACGCTTCCATCATCCACAAAAGCCGGACTTGACCTAACTACCGCAGAGATGCAAGGAGATGAAATGAGTGAGCGGGAGTGCCTTATTAGGAGGGCTAGGAGCTTGGTGACTCCCATGAACGAGCTGGCTCGTTTGTGGAAGACGCGTCGTACAAAGGATTTGGTGGCTGTTTTCCAGGAGCAGCATCTTTCGATGCCGTCAAGGCCTCTTTGCAAGGTACAGCATTGGAGACATATATCGGGCACAGCGCGCGTGAGAGCAAATTGTGTTGAAGTGGCCAGGCGAACCAACTTCCCTGTAGAGGAACTCTTTTGGGACGACATTGTCGATTTGGCGCGCGCCAGCATGACCGCATCAGCTGCCGACCTTCTGGATATTGCAAGCCCAACTCTACTGCGCTATATGGGCATAGATCCTGAGGGTGGAGAAGTATTACAGATGGCGGCTCAACAAGGCCCCATGGAAGAGCAGAAGCCGAGGGCCAGTCTCAACCGGGAAGGCGCTTTCCACTACTTGTCTCCGTGGCACAGCGATGCTGGGACCGAGTTAAACGATGACGATGAAATGATTGCAGGGGGAGACAACTTCTGCTCTGAAGAACCAAGACTAAATTACTGGTGTGTTGAGAGTGCTGCTCGCCTACTTCTGCTAATACATGTTCAGTGCTTACTCCGAAATGCTTCTCAGCCGGGCGTCCTCGTGTTTCTTCCTGGTGAGTTCGTTGACTTCAGTCAGCTCGAAGGTACGCGGCTGCGTGCTGTCGTGTTCAGCGTGCATTGGTTCAGCCATAATAAAGAAGGAGCCCAGAAAGTTTTTCGGCTTTTGTGGACTGAGGAGAATTTTGTTGTCACTGTGTTACCGTCACTGTTGGCCTTACAGGGAAACCTGAGATATCACGCATGGAACAGGCGCTGGACAAAGCGAAAGCTGACGCTGCTGTGGCTCTAAGCAATGCTCGGGACGACCCACAACAATGCTTTGGACCTGGCGTTGTTCACGAAAGTGACGGGACTGTGCAGCTGAGTGTCGATCTACAGATCTTGCGAATTCATCGCGATGCTGAGACGGAGGACCTGAAGCATGCCAAGCAGCACGCTCCCAGCTCGACATGCATGAAAATTATTCTCGCAACCAACATAGCGGAGAGTAGCATTACCTTTGTAGACGTGTCCATTGTAGTGGACTTTGCACTTGTCAAGGTAGGTTTTTGCGGCTTTGCCTGTGCAGCATAAACGGAAGTAGTAGTAGAAACTGCTCAGTTCTGGCTGCCCAATGCACTTAGCCAAATCTGACGTAATATGGAGGAACACAGCTGGATATCAGCTGCAAATCTTTCCCTACTGCAGGAGAAGCACGTGCACGCCGTGACAAAAGCCCACCGGTTACAGCTACGGTGGGCGAGCCGCGCAGCATTGGACCAGCGGAGGGGAAGAGCGGGTAAGCACTGCTAACCAGATATCTCAGTACCGTTTCCACCCTTTTGTTGCTTTTGGGACACTTTTTCGGGCAAGCACGTGCAAAACTGGCTTGGTCTGATTGATCGGAGGCGCCCAAATTATGGTGCTCGTGGCCTTTTGAGGAGACATCACACAAGCAAACAGTCAGTTGTATGCAAACAACCGGTTGTACGATGCTCCAGCTACAAGGCATGCCAGATATGAGCGTGCGTCCAGTGCCACGGGAACAATAGAAATGCAGGTGCTAGGTGCTGGTGCTACAGGACGCGTCAGGGAGGGAGCGTACTTATGTCTGATACCACGAGAGCTGTACAAGAATCTTGAGCCATTCCCCCTACCCGAGCTTCAACGGCTTCCTTTGGAAGACGTGAGGACACAGTTCTGTAGTTTGACATCTTTGCTTACTGATGAGGCTTATCTAGATCATGTTGGTCTTGGCTTCACCGCTTTGCTTTCTTCGCTAGCGCATGCTGTTTCAGGTACTGATGGATGTTATGGCGGCTTTTCCCGGAGAGAGCACTGACGCTTCTCTCTTTTTTCTTTCTCAAGCTCAAAACCCACCGGATATTGGGAAGGTGTATGAGGCACTCTGCAACATGGAAGCATCGGGTAGGCACGATATATTGCCTTTGTAACAATAGTGTATTTACCCAACTTCTGCTGCCCTGGCCTCGATGCGCGTAACGATTATAGCGTCATGTGTAATGAGGAGTGGAAGCATCCATACAGCAAGGGAACTTGTTGGCTGTGTTTATGCAGGTGCCCTCAGGCTACGTTCTCCATCCTCTTTATTTACTCACATGACTCCCCTTGGCCAATTGGCCTGCTCTCTCGCGTTGCCCGTCAAGGTTGCTAGGATCATTCTTCTTTCCAAAGCATATGGAGTTCTGCCAGCAGGTTTATGGGCTGCCTCTCTTCTTCTCAGTGACAGACAAACTGTCTTTGAATGCCAGCGTGAGAGGATGAGTTTCCCAAGCCTCTGCAGTCTATATCCCGCAGTGTCTTTTCGAAGCAAGGGCAGGTGGAAACTTCAGGTTCGCAATTCTGTAAGGCGTGATGTAGCATCAGCGAACTTTGTTTGCGGTCAGTGTGTGCTACAGCAAGAGGAGCAAAAACATCCAGTTTGCCTGATGCAGAATTGTTGCGGTGGCTGGCGGCTCGCTCATGGAGACTTGGCTTTGCAAGCCGTCAGCGCGACCGTCTCTTTCCTCTGGCTGCTCAGAGGTGGTGCGTACAGTCTCGATCCAAGTGCGAGCCAGCCGACTGGCCTACCATGAAGACGAACGAATCTGAGCAGGTCCCGTGGCTGAGAGGATCATCATGCACTGGATCTGACGACACAAGCAGCTCCATTTGGGGTGAATTCATTCCTTGCGACATATGTGTAGACGTTGTGGCAATGCTTCACCTGCACAAACTTCATGGAAATACCATCTACCAACTTCAAAGTCACTTGACATTGAGTGCAGAAAAACTACAGCAGCGGAACGTAGCATCTGAAAGTGCCAGTGGATTGCCGCATACAGTGCAAAAGATGAAGAGGCTGAGGCGATTCCTCGCAATGAGCGGAATGTCTGTTCAGGGCGTTGCTGATGTGGCTTCTCAGCACCAAGCCATCTCACGGAAGCTTTCTCGTTTTGGAAGTTTGAGGTGTGCTGAGTCCTGCAGAGCGATGCCAGCCCCTTCAAGCATTGGTTCTCATTCGAACGAAGCCATTGAGGGCCTCGTGTGGCGCCTGCAGCTAGTCCTTGCCTCTGCGTGCATGCCATTCGGCTTCAGCAGAGTCCGTGACAGTTCAATGCAGACCCCGTTTAACCTGGGTCAAAAGTCCGTATCTCATTTTTCATTCAATGTTTTGTGCCATGAGGCATTCCGACAGAGGCCGGATTTGCGGTGTCGCGATGCATTGCTAACTGCTGCGAAACGGGGGTTTTCGGAAAGTCCCACGAGTCCTTCGCGTTTTCATTCAGGGGGCTGCGGATCTCCACCCAGATTTGCAACAGCAGAGTCACAGAACCGTCCTTCAACAAAGGTGTTTCCGTGCATATATTCCCCCTATAGAGGGGATGTCTGCGCTGGTGATTCGACGTTAGACTGCATGTGTTCTATTTCATTCCCGGAGGGATATTCTGAAGTTCCGTCGATCCGTCAGGGCCACTTGGAAGGTGAGGCCAATTCGCATCCAGGCACTGAAGCAGAATTGAACAAGCAGCGTTGGTCCCAGCAGTACTTTGCTGAAGAGATGGGTCTCCTTCTGCGCAACAGTTGTAGCACGGCATTTTGTGTGAGGATGGCGGCCGTATTACTGAAAGAAACCGACCCCTTGGCTCTCTTCTCTGATTCTTCGTGCATTTGGCACCGTACGAGGGATATGGAACGTGGTACAAGAATGCTTCTGTACCAGTCCTTCCGGACATGGGTAAACCGGCAGAGGCGGAACCATGCACAACTGTCTGAAGAGTTTGACCGTGTTTGTTTACGGCTCGAAACTTTTGGAATTCTAAAGGGCCTGCAGGTGGGGACGCGGTGTCATGCAAAATCTCAGAGTATGGGGTTATCCAGGCCCACTGCCTGCTTTGGACCAGGAAATGCTCCTGTGCTTGATTTACCTTCATCTGGGAAGAGCCAACAGCCGATATCACCATCTGAGTGGCTGGGAGCCATGAGGAGTCTTGAAATGTTTACGTGCCGACTCCTCCTTTTCGCTGCTCGAACCCGAATGACGCGGCGGTTAGTTCAGTTGATGCACACAGCGTTGGTGGATAGACCACAGGTGCTGCGACAGTTGCTGCGGGAGCAACAGGGAAACTGGCCAACTGCGCGGTCTGAGATAGATGCGATGGATAGAGCTAGAGAGGAAGTTGCGGCAATATTTATGCATCCATCATTCAGCGGACGGCTTACCAGCTGCCTAGCGCCATTGCATTTCTTTTCTCTTTGTGTAAGAAACAATGTCCCTCTCTCGGATCTACTATTCTGTGAAGGCTGGGATTTTGACTTCTCAGGGATTCTCCCTGGAGCTCCTCTGGGGCCACTGTTAAGAGTACAGGAGTTGCTTGGCCCTTTGCTTAGCAGCAGCTGCCGTGCACTACTGCCTACGGACATGCAAGGGGTTGCAGAAGCCGTTAAGGAGTTCTATAGCAGCAAGCAGGTGCAGGCGAGACAGCAGCAGGCTCGTGAAAACTCTAAGAGAGCAAAAGGCAATGGGCTTCTCCGCCATTTGGAAGAACAGAAGCACTTCCACAAGCCCACTGCTTCTGTGTGGGCGTCGCTTGTGGAAGATGCTGTTGACAACCTAACGGCTGCTGCTGAAACTGTGCTGGCACGACTGCAATCCAAGAAATGTGAAGTTGGCACTGCACAACAAATTGAAGATGCAAACGGGCTGCTAAGCTCAGCAGCAGAGGCTACTCAAATTTTGAGCGCCTACTACAGATCTTGTGGTTTGGTTCATGCACAACCAAACGCAAGAAGGGTTCAAATTCTTGTTTTCGGTGACAGCCACCGCAGAGCTCTGTTGCAGTGGCTACACAGAGCTACAGGTGGAATTAATATGAAGGCAACTGGAAAGAGGCAGGCAGAGTTGAGGGGTCCCGAGCATGAGTGCATCAATCAGCCCTTGTGGGCGTCGATGCTGCCTTTTGCGGACGATGATAGGTCTCCAACGCGTGACAGCATTGAGACAAAAATGCCTGGTCTCCAGATGCCGAGTACAGTATCGCACGATTTGTCTGTAGATGAGGAAAAAATTGAGGAACAGCTGCTCGAAGCAACGGAGAAGATCCAGCGTGCTGCAGGTGGAGGCATTATGGGTGCTAGCTGCCTGGAGGAGATCATGTCATTGGCAATGGCGACAGTAAACAGGCTCCTGGACATCCAGCAAGCGGAATGTTACGCAGCAGAGCAGCAGCTAGAGAGGATATCAAAACCGCAGGTGGAAGCTCGAGAGCGACCAGCCACACCTGAAGGCACTTCTCCCGTCAAGCGTTTTCTGCGAGGGGCTGAAGCCGACCGGAAAGCTACGTTGGAAGGTTCACCAGGCCCAAGTAAAGCTTCCCTGTCCAGTATGAAGGATAGGCTCCCGCATATGCATTCAGTCAAGTTGGAAGCTGACCCCCTTGCTCGGCGCTGGCACCGCGACGAATTCCTACGTCAGCGTCAAGGCAGCAGAAAGCAGTTTCACCCCCTTCAGGCGAGCTCTTCTGGAGGCAACGAGGCAGGTCAGGGCGATGCTGACACTACAAATGACATGGACACTTCACACGAAGTGCCATTCTGTAGCGTGTCGCACCGCTTCCTCAAGGCATTTTTATCAATAGATGGAGGAGGGAGGAGCCGCAAGCGTCAGCACGGCGGCCCGAGTACAGCTCGTGTTTGCCGAATTTCGGAGCAGTCTATTCTTCACAGCAACGGCCCCTTTTACCCTGAAAGTAAGGCGAATGCTAGTGTTCCTGCGACATACAGCCCAGTTTTAGTATTTATTCAAGCGTTGCGGTTGTGTAAGGCACTCTGTATACTACAAGTCTATATATTTCGTTCTTTTTGAAGTGTATGCTTTCTCTGAAGGCTACTCAAGGGAGTTCTTGCTGGTCGGGTTGAGCGAATGGGATACGTCTGCTGGGCTCGCCAGTGGAGGTTCGGACGTCGGTGCTGCGTCCTTGCTGCCACCGTTGCCTCATCTAGAAGAGTTACTTCTTTTATTGTTGGCACCCGTTGTGTGTATATTCTTATCAACGGACTGTCTATGCTATTGCTGCAAGTGTTGCCCGTGCAGTCCCGATATGAAGGCGGGAGCAAAGTACCCTGAAGCGAAGGGCCGCTCTGATTGCCCAGCAGGCACAGGTGCAGGGGGTATTTCCCACTTTGGTAGTGGCCCAGCAAGGGGAAATTGCTGTCAACTATGCTTGCGTGGAGCCGTCTGTTATGCTGTTGTGTCTTTTGGAGGATTCAGGGAGTTTGGGTGGGTGCCTCGTTTCCTGTGGAAGGATGCAGATATAGCGTTGTTGAATAATGCCCGATCTGTGTTGAGTGACGTGTTCAAACAGCCGAATATTGGATCTAGCGGAGCTTGGCACGATGCTACGAAGTGGAGGGACACAAATTGCGAAGACTCTGACGACAGTGCGAGTGACAGTAGTGTTTACCACACATACTCTGACGAGGCGAAAGTGGCAACTGCAAGATTCCAGTCTAAGGAATGTGCAAATGGTCCCTGCATAGACAGTATATTGGGACAACTGCTGCTTCCTAAGGACCGGTTGCAGTACAAACAACTTGTGGGAGCAACGACAGCTACTTGGGGTCTCCGCTCACGCGGGAGGAATCCATACAATGCAAGCGAAGACCCAAGCGTGAATTCCGACATTTACACAACACCGGCTGGTGACAGAGGTGCCCCGTGCTGGGAGAAACTGGATCATACAAAACAGCAACAAGGTCGGTCTGAAAGTGGAACGGATGTGGCTTTATCACCCATAGTTGTTTTCGATTTGCATGGAACGGAAATAGACATACCTGGGTTGTCGATGACTCCATCATCGGCGTGCTCTAAGCGGACATTCCTGGGAAGTGCGTTGCATCCACCATCCGGATATTCTAACCGAACGTATCTACAGGCCTTGCAAGAGGAGGCCAATGAACAACACCATCAGGCACAGAAGAGTGAATGCCAAACGTGTACGCATTTGGATTCCTTGGCCATGGCTATTTCTAAGTCACTGACGCTTCTGCATGCCCCACAAGCGTCGAAGACAGCCGTACTTCCTGAGGGGGCCACACCTAGCATGTGGGGCCTGCCCGTTTCGTTGTTAATGCTTAGGCACAGTCCTCAGCATCCATCGCTCTCTGAAATGCTGCAATGTGCCGCCTGGAGGTGTTTGCCAGCAACTGCATTGGCTGCCTATGCAGAGAAATTGATTATTCAGTGCGCCAATAGCAGTTGCAGGGTTCCCCTGGGGAACGTGGGGGATTTGGAGCTGGTGTCCAGAAGGCATCCACTGCCTGACGGGCCCCCATGGGCAAAGATAGCCTTCAAATACTTCCTCGAAGAGCTCGACACATCTGCAAGAACAAAGATAGACGCATGCCCTACATCTGCACATGCTGATGTGGGACAATGTGCAGCTGACAGCGCAACACCTGCCCAAAGAAATATCGAGGTGCCTGGAAGCACATTGGAAAATACCCTTCTTCAGTGGATGCAAGATAACGAGCTGATAAGACATGATGTAGCGGTCGAGGTCCACAGAGGCAGTGTAAGTACGAAGGAGGGCGAGCTGTGGGTGATAAATACTGCAAAACTTGCCCGCAGACACAAAGCATGTGAAACGTGCAGTGTAAGTGGCACAGAAACACCACCACTAGGATGCCCATGCAGTAACTGGCCTTGTGTGACAAGCCGCTGCTTCCGTCCACAGCTGGTGCCCTTACTGGACGACGAACATACATCTCTTGCAAAGCTAAAGCTGGAAAGTCGGTTGCTGCTTACTCCGTCCAGTCTAGCTTTCGTCTCCACCTATATAAAGCCTCTGTTACGTACACGCCGGCGACTAGAACTCCTCCTTAAGGTTAAGCAAGAAGAAGCGTTTCATACTGAATCCAGTTCAGCCGGACTCGCTGAGCAGAACCGGATGAGACAGCAGCACAGCCACATGGTGGACAAATTTGTAGAATGGGTTCTGTGTGGTGGCCCAGTCCGACATATCGTTGGGTTCCGTATATTTGATTTCTACGTGTTTCCACCAGACTCACTGGTAGAGATAGCAGGGCACACGGATGCACAGCGTGTGTACTTTTGGCGGCTGGCTTCCTCTAACGTTGTGCCAAGGAATCCTGTTGACTTCCCGCAGAAATTGAATGAAGGACCTATTCTTTCATTTCGCGATGCATTGGCTTTGGGCACGAACGAGGGTACTTCAGACGATGCAGACCGGGGTGACAGTGGACTACTTCAGTCAACGACTGCATTCTTCGCAGCTGCAAGGTACATTCACAATTACGAAAAGGGGGTTCTGCGGGAAGACTTGGAGACGTCAGTTACTTTTGTCGAGCATTTGGCGGAGATAATTGCACGAAGCTGTAAATGGACTGCTGAAAAGTTTCACCTCAAGGATTCGGAGATGTACCAGAAGTTCTTCGTTGATTCGTGGGACATATTCCGACCAGCCTCAGCAGGAACTGGTGCAGCTTCGGGCAAGCAAAGACAGGAAACCTATAAGGGCTATAGGCACCAGAATTTGAACGAAGGGCAACAACCTGTTGTTTGGCAAAACAACGACGACCTGAGCAGAACGGTGCGAACTGTGCTGACTGCTGCATCATCAAACCTGCAGGGGGCCTTGCTACCTGCGGACCTTTTCGACTGGCAGACACGTCTGCTGCAGAAGCAGCGGAGTGCAGTACTGAGACAGATGGAAAATGCTCTTCTGTCACTGCCTAAGGAGTGGTTGAATGGCTGTGACTGGACAATGAGCCGAGTTGCATTGGAACAGTCTATGATCTGGCGGTGGTCACCAGACAGGGAGGAGATTGAGCAGCAGCAACAAGCAAATAGGATTGCCCACGAAAAGCGGAAAGCTGCGGAGGAGGACAGGAAGGTAAAGGAAGTTCAGGCACTAAGAAAAATGCTGGAAATGGAAGCCCTGGAGTCGTCGTCAAAACGTACCCGCCCTCTTCGGTAGAGCTGCTAGACAGCTGCTTTGCTGTGAACAGCATAGCGGCTGTTCGACAGGAGCCAATGTTAAGGCCCTATTACCTTTTGATGAGCCTCACAATTCAGCGTCCCGGCCTTGTCGAATCTACTGTCTCTCCCATATCCCACGGAGGCATCCTGGATGGAGTTCGCTTACACGCAGCCTTCGCACAACCTTGTCAAAGTGTACTTGGCGGCTGCAGTTATAGTTGCTTTTTGGATACTGCTCCTCCTTAATAACTAGTTTCGAAATATTTCTGCGTCAGCATATCCACTTGCAACTGCAACTCGGCACCAGGAAAGGACTCGTGCCAAGGTGGGTTCTTCAGAAGTACAAGGTTACCCGTTTCACCATTAACTGGTTGCCATGACTAGATGAATGAAGTGTAGTAGCCATCTTCAAAATTGCGTATGTGGTGGAAGGTGGATCTACGAGCCACTAAAGGCTTTTCATTGTTGTGTATCCACCACACAATCCTCGCCAGCATTCAAAAATTGCTATTGGGGTTTGACTGCACAGAAGGCCCTTGTGCAGCATGCGATGGCACGCATACCAACGCGTTGCCAAGGAATCATTCTGGGGGCAAAGTACGTTCGATAGACGTGTGCCGAGGTGTCAAACGTGAGTCATGCACCAACATGCGCTGCGTGGCAATGCTAGTAGCCGTGCTGCCAGCGACAAAAGGGACATGCACTGGATTGCAACAGTTGCGCGTGGTGCCCACACTGTCCCGAACATTGTGTCCAACAGCCTCGTTCTTCTCTGCGATATTCCCCAGAGGAGGAGCTTCAGAGGTCGTTATGCCGCCACTGCGCTTACGTGCTCCGTTGGGCTCATTGCTGCATGTGTCTTGGCAGCCATAGAGATTTCTTCCCTGGCAGTCTTGGCTATGTAATGGTCCTGCACCCAAGCCACGTACACCACAGCAGGGTGAGCAATTCTATTGTGCAAAAATAATTTTCACACTTGCATTCAAATTCGAAGACAAGCTGAAATGCTTAGTCTTGTCCAGAAGGAGAGATACGTTAGGGAGATCCGCAACTCCTTCATGCTCAATACAGCATGACGGATGAACAAGCAAGACTCTTACGGATCATTTTGCGTCTGCATTCGGCATCGTCTACTCAAGCCACCCACCGCTGGTGCGTGGTTCATTTCGCTTGCGGTCTCCCGTTTCCCTTAAAGCTATCTCTCTGTAGACCTTCCGAATGGACAAGTTCACGATGCGGAAATACTCTTGCATTTGTGAGTCAGAGAGCTCTGCACCAGGAAGTTCGACAGCCATAACAATCAAAGTGAGCTCCAACTCCGCCTATACTCCAACCAACGTTTAAACGGAAGAAAGTGCCAACACAATGGCAAGCAACAGTCGTATTCACCCATCAGCAAGAGGTTACTGCAGCATACCCGCGTAGTTTGCGTCGCCGTTGAGAAAGAGGAGCCTGCGCAGTTTTTCCTCCAGGTTCTTCTCGATAGCGATTAGTCTTTGCAGGTCAACGTCATAGCTATTTACTTGCTGTGCCATGATTCCCTGAAATGGGCGAGCGACCAGGACCACAGCGAGTACAAAAAGGCTTACAAGAGACTGCAGGTGCGTTCCAGTATATTTTCGCTGCCCCCACCACCTGCTCCGTGCATTTACCATCTTGCTAGCGGATGAAGTGATTTACATTTATTGATTTACTGGAACTCACCTGCAGTCTCTTGTAAGCCTTTTTGTACTCGCTGTGGACAGTTTTAATGTGCTCCAGGTCATCCCCCAAAGCTTTGATTTCTTGCAAAGCCGATTCTTGTACAGCAACGCATTCGTCAGGACCAATCCTCGCAACTGGCTCCTCGGGGATTGCGAACTGAAGTCGAACCAAACCATAACGCATGTACAGGAACTGTGATAACTCTCTTGAAAACTTTGTCAAGAGCAGCGGTACGAAAAATATGAGAAAGAAGAATGACCGAAACATTGCGCAGACACCCTGTTCAATCCATCTCGCGTAGACCGGTTGAACGGTTTGTGGGGTTGCCCCCTGAGGCGCTAGCCTTTTGAGCCCTGGAGAAACATAGCCGAAATACTCACTGAAGACTTCGGCTCTGGAAGGCAGCTGGAGGAGTATGGCAGGAGTTGTTTTGGTTTCTTGTGGGTTTCCTCTGCTGCACCCGCTGCTCGCTGCGCCTGGACAACGGTTAACTTATACTGGGCTGCGCATGACAACAGATGCAGAGACCATAAAGTAGTAACAGACACTTTCCAGCAAAATCCAAAATAAAAATAGTATTAAGAAAATTCGCTATAACGCGTAAGTGCACACCACATAACTGGTATCCCTTAATGGGAAAAGGTTGGCTACTGCGCACTTCCTTCCAATTCTTGCGCAAGCTCTTCGAGCTCGTCCACTGAGCACGGCTGTAGATCTTGGGCCTAAATTGCAAACGCACCATTGGAGACAGCATGAACAGATAGGACCGCAGGATGGACAAAGCATCCTCCCACCGCATGAAAGCCAAAACTGTTAATGACGTTGCACGCAGCGAATGTAAGTTGATTGAGTCTTCTATACTGCCACCAAATTACCGTCAGGACGCTCAGGCGCTTCTCAACCTCTTGCATTTGTGTGTGTCGTCTTCCGTAGCAAACACGACAGTCGGCGGCAGTCTGCTGCAAGGAGCTGTGGACTTGGTCAGCCTGAACAGCGCACCACCCAACAAATTATGCTCACCTGAATGCATGCATGCGGAGTGCAAATCCACACTAACGTCCCTGTAAAATAACAAGCACCAGACGTACTGCTTTAAGAGCATTGTAGTAACTCGAGACCTCTTGGGACTGCACTTCCAGTTGTTGCTGCAGGGCGTCAAGCTTCATGCGGATCTTAGAAAGCTTGTCCAAAGCCGTGGAGAGCCTAGGAGAAACCACGCATGACACAGAATGGGGACCACGTACTCATATACAATTTCGCTTTCTCCGTGCCTCCAAAAGGGCCGCCAGCCAGACAGAAATAAACCGCGTGTGGTCTTACGCCATAGAAGGATCAGTTTGTAAATCATCTTGAGAGTTAATCGCTGAAACAGGTTAAACAGCATACACAGAATATACAAAGTGAACAAAATGCATGAAACCTCAAGTGTGGGCTACCATGACAAGAAACCCCGCCACCCGAATAAGTACGGTGTATCAAGCCCTTCAATCTCTTTCGAGGGAACGTACTAGGCTCTTTCTCGTCATTTGTGTCGACGCTTGCTGTGCGGCTGAAGAAGCGAGAACATGCAGCTGTGGGCTGGAGATTTTCCTGGCGGCCGCCGACTGTGTTTGACGCCTTTTCGTCTGTGCCATCTGCATTAACAGCCGTGTCACCATGCCGTCCGTCTGAGTGGAGTTCACCAAATGCGGATCCAGTTATCGACCGTACGATGTTCGCAGTGGAATTTGTATGCCGAACAGGATGGCCATGCTGCTTCCGATTGGTTGTACTCCGTGGAGATTCGAAGGCGTCGTCCGCATTGCTAACTGGCAACCTATCTGGTATGCCCTTGCCAACACAACTGCTTGAGTCAGGTCCCCTGCTCCGTTCCTTGGAAATGGCCAGCATCTGAGCATGCAGTATTTCCTGTTTTTCTTGCTCAAACGCATGGCGTTGCTCTTCTAGGCGTTCTCTCTGCTCCTTCAAGTGTTGTCTTTCCAGCTCCAACTCCTCCCTCTGTTTACTTTGCTCCTTTTCAAGTTCCTCTTGCCTTCGCCTTAGCTCCTCTGCTTCCTTCTGCTGCTGCTCCTGCTGCGCTCGGAGTTTCTCCAGTTCATCATTGCTTACGGCCCTGCTTGGAACTGCAGATAAAGGGCTTTTACCAGGCACCGGATCATGCGGTGATGCACCAGGGAGAGATGAGGGAACGCAGGCTGATCTTCCGTGGGAGTGTCTGTCCTGATATTTTTCGTCTGTTGCAAGCGGATAGCCCGTCGTCGGGTGGGCACCCATTTGCTCAGAGATCTGTGGCTGATGAGCAGGAGGCCAGTCGTTGCAAGAAACTGTTTGCACTCGTGGTGTCTGCAGTCCCTCCACCGTGTAAGCCGTTTGCATTGTGGGAATTGAAGCTTTGTTCCCTTGGTGCTCGAAATAGCCGGTTGGGGTAATGATGTTCTCACCCACTTCGTACCGTATGCGGGTCGGCGACTCTACACGAACAGTGTTGCCGCCACCTGGGCCATAGCCAGGGTAGGGTCCCAGAGGAGTCGAAAGGATACGCATTGGCGAGGCTGCTACGTAGTTTCCCTGTGGATAAGGTACTACTGGGAGCCCTGCCTGGAATCGTGGGCTTGGAACTTCAAGAGAAGAATACGTGTCCCCATGTCGTTCAACTGGGGCGCCACCTGGCTGTCCAGCCAATCCCAACGCTGGCAAACAAAGGGCGCATCTGCAACCCGGCCTGTGAATAAAAGTGCGAATCGCCGACCTCGACTCCTCTTGTGCTACCGAAACCGGCTCCCCGCATGCCCATGGTCTCCTCGGCCTCGGCATAGTGTTGGACTGTACTCTGCTTTTCTCCCTGGCTTTGCACTGTGAAATCGTGGCTGTTGAGGCACTGCTAGGCTCTACAGGAGAAAATTCTCTTCTTGACAATGACGCGCCGGGTTCGAAGAGGGGGAAGTCAAGTACTTCCTGCAGTGAAAGTTTGTCCCACAGGAGCCACTTGGCTCGATGAGCTGGTGGCGCAAATTGGGTCTCTCCAGACGAAGCACTCCTGAAGCTCTCCTGAGTAAGGTAACCCTCCTTCGGGAGTGAATATTCCAGATCAGGATGCTCCTTCCTGATGGGTCCTGACGAACTTGAAGAATAAAAGGGTCGTCCACCTTCTTCGACTGGTCGCCTAAGCTGCAGAGTCCACAAAGACGAGGCAGACATAAAATTACCACAAAAAATTGTTGGGGGCACCCTGCAAGCCAACGTAGGCTTCTTAAGCGCTAGTCGCTTTGCCATCATTTCATTATATTCAACTGCAGTAGGATGACCCCCTAGCGCATTTGCAGTGGCTGATGCAGAAACGTTGGGATTGCCAGCCACAGAGGGCTTCCTATCTCCTGCCCTCCCCAATAACATTTTTAGCTTTTCACTCCGTAAGCGGCTTGCAAATATTCGTCCGCCTTTGCCCTGAGGTTGCTTATGCAGAGCCACGTCCACGGCACTCTCCAGAATACGGTTTGTTGTCTCCATGTCCAACGACTTCAAAGCCCCCAAAGCCATGGAGTTGGCTAACGTTGGCTCTGACGGCGATGACTCCTGTGCTGAGGAACGAGTTCCTTTGTGAGTCATTTGCAATGCCAACCTCTCAAGCTTTCGACCACCGGAAGGCTCGTAATCATTGGGAGTCCTAGCGTTTCCATAGTCTGCCAGAAGATCCCCGCATGAATACCATCGAGTGTGGCGCCTATTCCCACACTCCATATCAGCGGGTGTGTCAGAAAAACTCCTTGTCCCTGGGGAATCGGTTGTCGCATTCAGATTTGTGTTTTCACAAGTCACTAGAGACGGCCCACAAAAACAGCCCGTCTGACGGTTTTGTGGTTCTTCAGCGCTGACGTGCCTCTGCGCTGCTCCACGTCTCCCTCCGTCGTAATCCCCAACAATCCTAGGCTCTGCGGACTGGAAAGCTCCGTATACTGAGTAACGCCTGTCTCCTTCAGATGCGGGAGACTGCTGATGCAAGACCTCCCTAGTAGGAAATGACGGTGGAAGATTTTCTGCAGCTGATAATGAGCTTTCGAATGCTTCAGTGTCCGTACTGCGGGGGCCCGGCGAATCGACTGCATCTTCGGCCAGTTGTCCGGACACGTCGGGAACGAGCAAATCGTGATTTTGGACTCGATTCACACTCATATACGCCGGCGGGGAAGGTCTAGTAAATGTGCTGTCGCACCTCCTTAAACAATTAGCCCGAGACTCCACTTGAACCTGCTTACTAGGCGCCAACAGACCGCTACATAGCCTTCGAGATTCATGAGGCAGCTGCAAACGTCCACTGTGGCGCCGTAGAGCTGGATATCTGCTACCAAAACCGTCGTGCATTGTCAGCGCGAGCTGGTCCTTGTCCAGATGGCTCCCCTTGCGGTTGTTTCTGTTGCCGCTGCTCAAGTACCGTTTCTTAGCGCTATCGACGGCTCTGGTGTGTCTACCATCTGCATCCTGTAGGGCACGACACTCTCCTGCAATAGCCCGCTCTGGCAAACTAGTACCCCGGAGTGACAGTACACCGCCAGCAGGCCCAAAGGGGCTATTAAAGCCCTCCTCTTCTGAGTTCGGCAGTTGCTCGCCCATATATCTCTCTCCCAAGCGTTCTCGTAAGCGGCTGTCCAGAGACTGCTTATGAATTCCAGCTTCTTCGTTGGAGTCCAAAACAATGTCTGGTATGGAAGGGCGCCCTTCGAGGTCACGAGAATCAAGCTGATCGTTGTCAGCCTTTTTCCCTTTCCGATAGGCTCCAATAGACACCTGCACTCCAGTATGGGTGTCAGGGAGCAGAGGTGCTTGGCGGGTCTGGTCCTGTGCAGCATCGGCCAAACCCAACTCCACTGCTCCCTTGGGCTGGGTACGATGCGCCACGTCTTTGCATTGAGAGGCGCTGGTTCGGGGATCCTGTGAAGCAAACACTGGGTGGGCTAAAGAAGAAAGCGCAGAGAAAAGACCAAATGGAGGAGGCGGGCAATGAGTTGCCACCTGCCGCGAAACAAGAACTGCCTGGGAACTGGAAGCAGGAAGCATACTGCGGGTGGGTGATGAACCACGAGCCTCTTCATTCAGAGCCTGCCGTTGAACACCTTCTTGGTTTGCTAACCCCTCAGTGAGCGTATGCAGCAAAGGGGCCTCTTTCTCATTTGTGCAGGGAGGTGGTGCCTGCGCAAAAGTCGTCGTCGTCTCATTGGAGGGTTTTCTCGCGTTGTCGTCCTCAATGATATCCCGCGCCAAAGTTCGCCACGCACTGGATAGCAACTGGGTTGGTACCCGTCCCTGGATCCCTACTTGCCGTGGGTCAGAGTCTTCCCTCCACCCAATGGATTTGCTAGGAAACTCCATGCAGGAACTAAACGTCTCGTATACACTGGAATCCCTGCTATTTGTGGGAATATTCTCGCCGCTCTGGTCTCTCCCTTCGCTGCAGCAACTGCTGCAGCTGCTCCGGCTCCGGCTTCTGTCACAGCTGCCGCTAAGAGATTCACTGCCACTGCTACAGTCTTCGTGGCCGTTGTTGCTCCCGCTACTGGACGCCTCGCTGCTGCTCCTACTACCAATGTAGTATTGTTCAGTAGGCATGTGTATACAACAGAAATGCGCACCTCCGCTTGGTGCACTGCAGCTTTTGGTAGTGTTGTCATGCCTACCGTTCCAGCCATCAAGTCTTTGGGAGCAGGTATATTGAGATGCAGCACTCTCTGGGTTCGTCGAGATTGATGGACTACCAAAATGATCTCTAGGACAGTTTTGTAATTCGGTTGTTCCCAGTTCGTCCGGGCATCGCAGCTGTTGAAGTTCATGCGGCTGTTGCAGTTGTCTACCTTCACTGTCAACCGCACCACATCCACTCGCAGTGCTCTCCCTCCAATCGGCTACTACAATTTCTCCAGAACTTAACAGAGCCGCTGGAGATAGAGAATTAACGGGACAATTCTCCGCAGAATTCTGTAACATCGTCAGCTTTTGTGGCGATTCTCTCGGTGATGATTCTTCGTTGCTGCTTTGCAACGTTTCTGAATACCTGTGGACAGCGATGGGGGCAATACGAGGATCTAAGAGCTCCAAACAGCTTCGCCCCTTCACAACAGCGCCCAGTATAACTTGACCCTCCTGACCATGTCCGCTAGGACTTGTACACTGTCTGTCGTGCGGTACGTCCTGTTTCGTCTTCATGACCTGCCCTCCCGCCGTGTTCAACTCGATCGGCAAACACATGCCTGGCGAAGCGCATTTGCCCCCCTCGTGTACCTGCGTATCCACGAAGGAGCTTGTTGTCCCACTGGAAATCGAACCCTCATCATTTGTCAGCTTGGCCATCCGTGCAGTTACTTCCAACGCATCCTGGAAATCTCCTTCTTCATCCAACACTTCGGGCGCCACGCCTAAAATGCTGCTAGATAATGCCCCTGCCTCTGCAACACTTGCTGGAGGCAAACCCATAACTGCCTGGTGTTCCTGCGTATCCCCGGAAAAGCTTGTCCCCTGGTTGCCACGCCGTAGCTCATCGATTGGCT